TTGAAATGCTGCCTGGTGTCACTGCAAGTACTTGCTGAGTTGCACTGATCCCTGGAGCGGGCAAAAGTCTCTGACCCGGAGTCTATCTCAGTTGGACTCGCTGGGCAGAGCTCACAGTGGGAAACAGAAGTGCTGGAGCCCAGAGGCTCAGTCTCAGAGGCACTAAAGTGCATGGCCTATCCAGGGCCATCCCTACCCATACGCAAAGCACGCAGCTGTGTAGGCACGGGTCCCCCCGCCCCCCAGTCCAGCCCTCCCGTGAAGGCCTGGAGTCCCACACACACACACACACACCGTGTGGGGGCTGCACAGGGCCCCAGAATAGCTAAGGATGACCCCGGGCCTAACCTTAAAGAAAAGTGGGACTCCTTGGGGTCTGGCACACCAGGGACATTTAGAAGCTGGGGCAAAGCACAGATCCTGTGGGTCCCTGACAGCTGGTGACAGGGGTGGGACACTGAATGCACCAGGAGTATTGTGCAGTGAGTGACTTGCAGCAGTACAAACAAGGTTAGTCAAAGGAAACAAGCAAGAAAATTGCAGGTACCTGCCTCCCTGTGGAGAGCATCACAGAGCTGTGCAGGGAGAGAAGAGAAGTGTTGGGAAATTAAACCAGGTGCAGCTGATTGCCCGGCTGGAGAAGGTAAGTTCCCCCACAGAGTCCGGGGATGACAGAGGCAGCAGCCGTAGCAGCAGCATGGCCAGTAGCGGATTTACCATGGAGTCACTGGTGCCATGGAGCCAGGCCCACACTCCAGGGGGGCCCCAGCCAGGCCCACTCTTCTCTGCCCCCTGCTCTCTCCCAACCTCTGCCCCTCCTGTGCCCCTAACCCCTGCACTGTGTGTGTCCCCTTCACCCCAACCCCTGCCCCCTCCTGTGCCCCTAGCCCCTGCACTGTGTGTGTCCCCTTCACCCCAAACTCTCTACTCCCCTCCTGTGCCCCTAACCTCTGCACTGTGTGTGCCCCCTTCACCCGAACCCCTGCCCCCTCCTGTGCCCCTAACCCCTGCACTGTGTGTGCCCCCTTTACCCCAAACCCTGCTCCCTCCTGTGCCCCTAACCCCTGCACTGTGTGTGCCCCCTTCACCCCAATCCCTGCCCCTGCCTGTGCCCCTAAACCCTGCACTGTGTGTGCCCCCTTCACCCCAACCTCTGCCCCCTCCTGTGCCCCTAACAACTGTACTGTGCCCCCTTCACCTCAATACCTCCACTCCCCTCCTGTGCCTCTAACCCCTGCACTGTGTGTGCCCCCTTCACCCCAACCCCTGCACCTCCCTCCTGTGCCCTTAACCCCCTGCACTGTGTGTGCCCCCTTCACCCCAACCCCTGCATTCCCCTCCTACACCCCTGTGGGGAAACTGACCTGGATGCACAAAGCAGCTGGCATTGCTGCTCACAAGGTGCAGGAGTCACTATATGACCTGGTAGGATTGGCGCTATGGGAATGTCCCCATGAGCTTAAACTGTGGCTAGTGGACAGGGAGCCCAAGGCTCTTCATAGCACAGGCCAGTTGGCAGATGAATCTGTGGACAGTGTGTCTGGTGGTGAGAACAAAACAAAGGGTGACTGGCCCAGGTTGGGGTTCCAAGGGGGGGCACATGGGGGGCACCATGAAGTGGGATTCAAATAAATCCATCCCAGGGGTGATGGTCGATGTGGATAGACCATCTCCAAGGGATCCCAAAAACCTAAGCTGTAGTATCTGTAACCGGACAGGACACAAGTGGGTATACTGCCCGAGGCTTCATGAAATGGGGTTTAAATGGGACCATGGAAGGGTTAGCTCGGGCAACACCCAGCTGGAGGAAAGCGGTCACACAGCCAGCTTCTTGCCTTGTCTTCTGACTGGCTTGAGCACTGGCCAAAGATGGGAGAGTTGACTCACGATCCTTCCTAGACAACGGGGGTTAACCTGTCAGAAAATCCTGCCTGTTCCTTGTGCGTCGACATCACAGAGAGAAATTCCCTTGGGCAGACGCCCAATCACCATCGCAGTGCCACTGCCACCCTCGTTTGAGGACTCAGCTGGAGCCCGGCTCTGTTGCTGGCTCATGGCACTGGGGTGAATTGCACCCTCACTGAATTGCTAGCTCGGTGCACGTCCTCTGGGAAGGGTTGACATTAGGAGGATCATGTCCTCGCTTGGCTGAAAGGGACGGCAGGTACAAAAGCTACTGACCAGCTGGGGAAAGGTGAAGAGGGACTCTCCAGCTCACCTGGGCAGCTCAGTCACCGGTTTTGTGAGATAGGCAGAAACTTCAGTTCGCTTCCAGGTGGTTCAACAGCTACAGCCTTGTTCTCCGCTATTGCCACGGTCTGTGGGCGACTGCGCTTGGGAAGGGAAATCCAGCTGCTTTTATTCAGTTCCCGATTGGTGGTACGACGACTGGTTAGTACTTTACAAGCTGACATGGAGCAATGAGGATGTGACCTGTGCTTCTAACGAAGAGTCAAGTTTGCCTAATTTGAATACAAACTGTCGCCCCTCTGTATGTAACCTTCTACCTTGTGACTAGCAGTAAAAGAAGGGCTGGGTTCCAATATATCTAATGCCTTGTATATCTTGCAAAACTAAATCCAGTTGAGACCCCGGAAACCTGGGAAAACTAAACACACTCCCTTGACAAATAACTAAACCTGCTTGATCCTCCAGACACCTGAGAATACTGAATGTAGCCTTTGGGTTGGCTAGAGTTTACTTCATTGCCCTTATCCAGTGTCTAAAAAAACCCAACTCCCATAGAGGTGCAGAATTCAGTCTCTAAGGATTTTCAGCAAGGGTTGCACAGGGTCAAAAAGAACAAAAGGAATGAACTTACTTCTTAAGTACCAACTTTACAAAATCGTATGATAAAGAAACATAATAAACAACAACAACAACTACAACTTAATTTCTACAGCATAACATGGCGACTTTATAATCTACCTCCATAATATTGACAGTTCTATGGAACCCTTCTGCCCGTCTGAGTTTATAATAATAAAAATAATAATAATATGTGGAGATATACCTATCTCATAGAACTGGAAGGGACCCTGAAAGGTCATTGAGTCCAGCCCCTGCCTTCACTAGCAGGACCAAGTACTGATTTTGCCCCAGATCCTTAAGTGGCCCTGCACCCCCGGCTTCCTGCGATTTACCATGACTCTCAGCCAGCCAGTAAAGCAGAAGGTTTATTTGGATGACAGGAATACAGTCCAAGACAGGCCTTGCAGGCACAGACAACAGGGCCCCCCTCAGTTAGGTCCAGCTTGGGGTCCCAGGGCATCCCAGCCCACCCCCCTTTGGGGGGTCAGAGCCATCTCTGCCTCCCAGCCATCTTTTCAGCCCGCTTCCCGCACTCTGCCTTCAGCGACCCCTCCCACAGCCTTTGTTCAGTTTCCCGGGCCCCGGAGTCATCTG